GCGTCACGCTTTCGAAGAGCCCATCCAGTCTTTCGCATTTCTGGGGCAGCTGCCTTGCCTTGGAACCCGAAACCCTACACGCTAAACCCTGAACCCTAAATTCTTCTTCAACGAGGGCTCTCTCAAGTGCCTCCAAGCAGCAAGCCGCCAGCAGGTTACTAACCCTGAACCCTAGACCCTGAACCCGAAACCCTATCCGGAGAATGGGCCCAGAGGCTCAAGGACAAAGAACGTAGCCAAGGTACTACGTGCGGAGGGTTGTTCTGAACCATGGGTCGGTCCTTGTTGGGGTACACTAAACATAAAGAATATTCACGGCCACGAGGGTCCTAAAAAGGGGGCGATCGTCTAGAACGACCTCCAACTGCTAAAGCCCAGCGGCAATCTCGGCAACTGCAGGATTGTCAAGCGCAAACAATACCTGGGAGTTCATCACTAGTTCATCGCGAAAAAAATCGAGAACGGGCTTCTTATTCTTATGATGCTCTGACATGTTACCAGGCATAGTCTAAGTACTCCCAATATTCAGCCTGGATGCCCCCGACTTCTTCCTCGACAAGGGATCAAGCTTGCGCAGATCCACTACTGGCCAGGGCTTGCAATGAGTGGAGTTTCGGGTAGCTAGCCTGGCAGCGTAAAAGATCCGCGCCAGGCGCACCACATCGATCGCCGCATGAAGTGGCGACTTGTTTGCCGTTAAACTCGGAGCCCATTCCTTGCAGCGACGCCATGATTCACCGGTCAAATGGAGAGTGGCGTTGCAGATGAAGAAGGCTGCAAGGCTGCAGTTCACCTCATTCAGATAGTCATAGGATACAGCAGTCACTCTTCCAGGGAACGCTTCGTTGAGCCTGTTGAGCAGCTGCAGCTGAGGGTCAGAGTCACCTTGTGCGTCTGGCCCCTGGCCTGTGAGCTCTGCAATGAAAGATGCAAGACTTCCTGGCGTACCTTGCTTGACAATACTTGCCAAGTAACCCTTCGCCTTGCAAAAGACTAGGAAGTCAAGAGATCTACACAAGTTGCCGCAAGCCGCAAAGGAAAAAATCAAGGTAAGTTGCTGTGGAGCTTGCTATCTGCGGCCCAATAAGATGCCATCCAGGCAGCGGCATCCGGTGAACGACCACCACTGAGAGGCAGGTATCTGTCCCAAAGAAAGATTTAAAACACCGCTAAGATGTGTTGGTGAACGTAGCTGTGGAAAATGCTTCGCTCGACAGGACCACAACAGGCCATGAAGACAGCTTGGTTTTGATGTAGCTGACCGATTTCTTCACTTCTTCGGCGTTCTGCTTACTTTCGCACCCATTCTCAACTCTGTTCTCTTTCCACAACGGTATAGCAAGATGATACGCAGCACTCTTTGGTTCATCGAAGCCCACACTCACAGACCACTGGTTTTCAAGATAAGTTCCATATTTCACCAACAGTTTCTGCAATGCAGACGTCCCCGTCTTCTTTGGTCCGACATGCAGAATTAACCTCGGACCCTTGCAGACAGCGTCCCTCTCGGACACCACTGTCTCGGTCTTTGCGGGACTAGAGGAGCCACTAAGGGTACTAAAGGAGCCAGTTTCTTCCGCTCTCGGGGCCAAGCTCCAAAGGAGGCTGATGACAGCGACAGTGCCCACAACACCCAGGACAAGTCCAGACAGTCGGGGCATGGGCTCGAGCACGTGGCCCCGCATCTAAACCCCTTGCAATCAAATCTCAGGCTACTAGCGTTTCGGGTTATAGGGCTTTAGCGGCTTGGGTGAGCCCTTTTACCCCCAGACCACGTTCCGAAAAGTGCCGACTTGAGGCTTGAGCCCGGGAGCTTCTTGGATCTTACGGTGAGAGAGAGATATATATATATGTATGTATGTATGTATATATATATATATATATGTATGTATGTATATAAATATATATGTATATACTGCGAAATCCTCGAGCGCAATTCTCTGTTTCCGAGGTCATCTTCAGAATCAGATTTCACATACGCGCGGAACCGGGCATTCACGAATGTCCTTGGAGGCACTTCGGCGAAATCTTGCGGATCAATCGCCAGTGCTTGCGTTTGAGTGCAGCATCGTCTGCAGTACAGATGCCTTTGGAACCAGATCTGGACCTCTTCGCCCCTGTCCGCGAAAACCACTTCTCGGTCCCCCTGTGGAACAGACCATCCAAGCTGGCACACTTGACAGGAATGTTCTTCGCAGCATGGATAACAGCACTCGTTTGGCGGTGGTTGACAGAGTTTTTGCACTGCAACCATCGATTGCCAGTCAAGCCAAGACTTGCGTTGCAGACTAAAAGCGCTGCACCGCTGCAGTGCGTCTCTTTGAAGTAGTCGTAGGACACAGCAATCACTGTCTCGAAGGAGCTTAGTTGTTGAGCAGCTGCAGATGTTGGTCCTGGTCTTAAGTTGTCCAACTCGTAAGCTTAATAGCAAATGCTGTCCTCTCTGTTTGGGTTTCAACAGGCCAAAAATAAGGCCTACAAGCATTCAACCACGAAGCGTCTCCATGTGCATCGACAGGAGAACGACGTCGTTTTGAGAGCAACCAATCCAAACGCACTAGAAAGTCTAGAGGAACACCTCGGCTGTCAGCTTCTTACCAATCCAAAACCCTAAACTCTCTAAACCCCGACACAAACTCGTAGCACATCTTACACTTTCTCGATCTAAACCCTAAATTCTAATCCGCAAACCCGAATCCCTAACTCCCTTAAACCTTGAATTAGGCGGAAGCAAAGGCAACCATATAAAGAGCCTCAAGAAGAATGCACGGTTCACCTCAAGTTTTAATGATAAGAACCCATAAGCTTTCTGATAAAAGGATTCTCAAGAAAGGCCTGGCTGCCATTGTGTTTTAGGGTCAAAGTGACTCTGAACCCTCACAAAAACCTTAAAGCTTAAACCCTCAACCCCAAACCCTTAGACCCTTGTGAACTCGAAAGGGGAGGAACCTTCCGCCAATCCAGATTTGCCTCGAAGGTAAGCCAAGATGAATAAATGAACTGACCCTGTCAGTGCAAGCACGAAGAAGGTGCCTTTTCCACCAGCTCAGAGATCCGTGCGCTACCCGGTCGCTAGATGGGCCTCTTTGGCCCGCCTGCATGAGGATTCACGGCTTCGGGATACCTCCCATACCGTAAACCAGTAGGCTTTTTCCGCCTTCTGGCAATGCTCCGGTGTCGCAGTGCCTGCGTTCTGCAGGTTTCGAACCAGGAAAATTCGCACCCACATTGTCCGGCACGTTGGCAGGGCTTGCCAGGGATATCCCAGACCTAAAGCTTGTCTCGCTAGTTGCAAGCTCGACCAAGCAAGCGTGCCCAGCCGAGAAAAGTTGATCTGTACATTTCTGCAATCTTGCTTGCAGCCGTCTGATTCTTGAAGCGGGCTACGATCGACCCCGTCAGGGCAAGTGCGACTACACTCCGCACATCGTTCCCGTTTGTGTGACTTCCTGTACGTCTTTGTCCCACAGATCCTGGGTGGCTTAGATGTTTAGGGTTCTTTTCTTGGAAGGAAAGAAGCAAAGGTCCTCTCACAAGCTCCCTTTTAGCTTCTGTTAAGATATTGACTAGGAAACCTAGGACCCACAAATAAGGTAAAAATGTCTCCCTACATCTTTGTCCCAAGGATCGATGAAAAGATCCACTTTGGAGCTTCCTCGCCACGAAATCCTTGGCACCGACAATGCGAAGCTAACGATCCGGCAGTGAAGACTGGTTGCAACCATGACCATAGCCGGAGATGATCCCGCATATCTCCCAAATGTTCAGCCCCTCGAAGACTTTAACGGTCAAGGTAGCATTTGCGGCGCTCACCTGCCGTGCTAGACTTTGCAGTTGCTCTAGGCTGTCATGTCCGAAGGCTGCACCCGCACGGAAGAAAATTATGTCAGCCGACAGCTCCCCTGCCAAGAGGGCAAGCTCGCTGGCGAAGTCTGTCGGCAAGCCGATCTGTTTCAGTTGTACAGCAACGTATGGCCTGGAAGTGACTGGAGCACTCGACGAAATGCGGCTCTCAAACAAGCTGCGAAGCATTACGACGCTGTCAGGGGCCAGGTACTTCCATGTCATGTTGCCGATCGGGTTCCGGGTGCTGCAGAAATCATATTCCTGCAGGATAGGATCAGTGTAGGCTTCTGCTTTAAGTTAAGCTTGATCCAGCGTGGCGATTCCATGGTAAGCTCATCCAACTTCATCTGCTCGGGACCATTCCCGTGGACAAGCATTGCAAGCGCACCCTCGACAGAGCAGGATGCGGTCTCTCCACCAAGAGCCACAAGATTGACAGTTGCATTGCTGAAATTTGGCTCAGCATAAGACAGAACACTCTGCACGTTGTGGCCTCCCCATGTCCGCAAGTCCCTTGCGCCAGAAGATCAGCGAAAACCAGGTCTGCCTCTTCCAGGGCGCAAAGCTGGCGCAGCAGCTCGGCTGCTACGTGTGCCATGAGCAAATCACCAAAGTTGTGCCGACCGATGGCGCCAAATAGAATGGTGATCTGCTTGTCAACCTCTTGAACGACAGTGCTGACGGGAGCATCCCTTGCTGAAAGCATGCCTGCGCAGGTGAGTGCGATGCTAAGTCCGAGCAGCCCAGCAATGCAGCTCCGAAACGGCACGTGAATGCCATCTTTCGGGCAGACAAACCCCAACGCTCCCCCCGATCTTTTGTGTGGAAGAGTGGCAATCACAACAACTCTCTTGAAAGTATTGAGCACACTGTGGGTGATTGGCTGCACGCAAGACAGAACACAAAAGCGCGAGACCTGATATGCTACGAATAAGTTGCCTTCAGGAGGGTCCAAAGATGACCCCAGCTGCCACGCAACACATTCAATACATCAAATACATCTTCTTTGTCCAACAGTTGTTCCGCTAGGGCCAAAGGCGCTGAAACCAATGCAGACACCGTGGTCAAGATGGCTAGCTGGTTGGTCTTCACAACAGCCGGGCTTTCGTGCTCAACGCGACCATCATCCCCCATCTTCTTGGCCAGAACATGTCTGAGCGCAAAGCAGGCGTTTGAAATGGCTGCACATGTCACCGTTGTGCTCTGGCTGCCACGTTCCCAGCAGAGCACATGGCCACACCCGTCACTATTGCAGCCAGGGCTGCGTACCTGAAAGGATGTAGGCACTCCCCCAAGACGATCACAGACAGCACAGCATTCGCGACAGGTTCCAGTGATTTCACCATGCGGGTCAGGGACACATTGCCGTAAGCCAAGGACAAGACAGTGGCTGTTTGACCACAAGCATAAGCAATACCAACTGGCACGCATAAGCAATACCAAGTGGCACGAATGCGGTCAACTTCTGCAGGAGTGCTGTTGGCTTGGGCAGCACAGATGTTTGCCATGCAACGTATGCCAGCCCAGAAAAAGTGACCAGCTGAAGCCAAGCTATGCCAATCGGCGCGCGGACTTCCTGCAGCAGAAGCCTGTTGACCACGTTGTATTGCACGTTGAATGCGTACGATAACAAGATGAAGATCACCAATCTCGTCATCTACCAAGCTTGGTAGAGGGGAAAGCCGATCATTGCACAATCAGGGTTTATTGGGTTTAAGGTGGTATCCATACAAGTGCATGGTTTTCACAATGATTTTTCACATTCAGGGCAAATGCTACAGAAGGGTTTTGTTGCCGCAAAACTTGTGAAGGCAATGCGGAAGGGCTAGGTGCATGCTTGAGGCTGATGGCATCTAACCTGGGCTCGTGTTAAGCACGGAATTTTCGGCAAGAATTCGGTCTCCTGACTTTGGCAGCTTGAACTACGTTCCTTAAGAACCCAGTAACACGGCGTCTTGGAACTCGAAGTAGGAAACCCAAAGGGAAACCCAAAGGGAAACCCAAAGGCCTAGCATGGCCATCTGCTGTAGGGTTTTGCGGTTTAGTGAGGATACAGAAGGGGCCAAGTAGCGGCACCAGGGCAAAGTGAAGACAGCTCTCAAGGCCTGAGCGCACTCGTCCTCAATTGTGTTGTGAAAGCCAAGGGTTTAATGGTAGAGTTGTGCTTCAGATGCTTCAGGGCCCAATTGCCTGTGGCACCAGGGCGGCATGGCACATCACGAGATGCCACCCAAGCAATTCAACCCAGCACATCCCAGCACAGACTTTGCAAAATCTGGCAAAGAGTAAAGAGCACGCACCGACAGAGAAACAGTTTGGAAAGATCTGAAACTTTCAAGAGAAACCCTGCTCGGTCGGATGTGGGCTGTCGTTTAACATGAAGACAATGAAAAAACATCAAAAACGTAATGGACATAGTGACATAGAAAGAGTAAGTGAAATGCATAGAAATGTAGTAGCAACCATAGTAAAGCAATGGAGATCACAGCACACGGTGTATGCGGTGTGATGCGCGACCTCTAGCAGCAAACAATGCTAGCGCGCCTGCGACACAAAAACTTCAAAAACATCTTCCAGTGCCCACAAAACAACATTCGCATGAGAAACTACAGCGGCGCATTGCCCTGCAGTGCCTTGAAGCACTCTTTTTCTCTCCGGTTGGGGAGCCCGGCGGTGACCGCGCAGGGCAGGGGTGGGGGGCGGAGACACAGCATATTGACAACAAGAGCATCAACCAGGTCAAGATGTTGCGCGGTGCGGAGCCCACCTAGTTCTTTCGAGTTTTACTGAGCAGCTGAGCTAAGCTGGTCAACCCTCGGCAGCAAGATCACACCAGAGCAGAAGCAGGAGGACTCATTCTGCACGGCCGCACGCAGTTGTAAAATCCGGAAGATATGGGAACATCAACTTCTTGATGTGTGCCTGCTACTTGCACACGTGAAATCACGTGAATTGGGAGGACACACTCGCTTGTGTCAGGAAAACACTTCACCATGCTTAGCTGGCGACTACGTCTGCTTTGAGGTGGCCGACGTCCTGGGCCTCCTTGCCTGCCAAAAAATGCCAAAGATGTCGCCTGCCCTTCAGAATGCGGAGTGGCGCGGAAAGCGCCCGAGCTGGCTTCCAGGGCTCTAGGTGCACGCGCTTGCTGCAAGCTTTGTTCTGCACCGACGCCGCCAGGTTCTTCTCGCCTTCGCCCCTTGCCCTACTTGCTCGATTTCGTGCTCCACTCCAAGATGTCCCAGGCACTGAAGCTTCTTCTGCATCCGAACGAAGGCCAGGCAAACTCATCGTGGGTCCACATGAAGCCCGACAGTGCCGTTGAAGGTTGGCACAAGCGCAGTGCCCCCGACAAGGTTGAAGGCCTGCCAAGAGGAATGGAAGCTGCGGCAATTTGTGACAAAATTAAACCAATGTTTCTTCGAAAGATAAGGACCGTGTCTACTATGCTAACGTGGACCACAATAGACCTGTCGGTACGAGATGTACTGCGAGCCGTCAAAGTACTGCAGCTCCTTGGTAGCGGTAGTGGCGGTAGTAGCGGTAGTAGTGGTAGTAGTAGTAGCAGTAGTAGTAGCAGTAGCAGTCGCAGTAGCACTTACTACGCCACTGAAAACCTAGCAGAAGAAGCACTACTGATACTGCAATAGTCTTCGTCGTTGTGGTCGCAATACCAGAGCCAGTACTATTTTCAATGCGAGTAGATGTGACCTTGGTGGTCGTTGGAAGTACTAGTAAGAATCGTTGCTGCAGCTGTGGCCCCAAGAAAGCTGGTGTTTAAGCTGGTGAAGACCAATCTCCGAAGACAACAAGCCCGAACACTGTGAAATGCGCTTAGCCACCAAGCTTTCAGCGAACTCCCCCGTGGCATCCGACTGCGTCACTTCCACACATCCGACCTCGCAACTGCTCTGTACCGGACCAGCTGGGGAACTGCAACATAGGCATCGCACATAAGGCTTGCAGCAATGCTTGCTGCTTGGTATGACTGCAAGGACGCAGGGAACTGAAAGCTTCCGCGAGGTTGCGCCTGATCAAATTAGCCACTCATTTCATGGTTGCGCCAAGCGCATGCACACAGTTTCCGACAGGCAGCATTCTTGCAGAGACCTTCCCACAAAGACCCCGCACGATTTGGCTCGTACTATTGCGCATCTGACAACCTCCTAGCAATGCCTATCAATTCCTAACACCAGAGTCTGCGAGCCCGTTGGGCACCTTGACCGCCGCAGTCATGCTGTCCGCCCCAAACAAGCCGCTGCCAAAGCCTTACGGCATGAAATGCTCACCGGACCTTCTAGGCAGGGTGAAACCATGTGCCAAACACAACACACCTGAGCTGGAGACGTGAAGTCTGACCAAGGGCAAGCTTTTTGCTGTAGACAAAATAATTAGCTGCACAAGGCTTACCGAAGAAGCTTCTGAACCCAAGGAGAGACTCCGGTTCTTGAAGATGACTGGGAAGCTTTCAGCATGCTTCAGTAGGCTCTAAGCAGGACATATTCACCTGTTCTTGTGCTTTCATAGAAACATCCGCCGACACGATACGGCTCCGCAGGCGGGAAATTCCCAACAGCAAAATCCCCTAAAAGCAATGAGCAACTGTCTCTACTGCCATGGCTACTACGACACCACCACCATGACATCGATCTGACTGTGGCTGTGATGATGATGACAATGATAACTCCTACAACGGCGTCCTCTAGTTCAAGAAAACTGCCTCAAAGAATTGATCTCGTCTTTGCAAAGCTTTCGCAGCCTCTAGCCCATAGCATACTGCCGTACAGAATTTCTCGTCTCAGGCGCTGAAACCGATGTGGCAGTCGCCGGGGCCACACGGCCGGCCCGAGACAAAGCCGCGGCCGATGCCGTCCTCTGGCATTCCGTTTCTCCGGAATGCCGATGAGACTCTATAGTATACAGCTATACATGTATAATGTTTTGCATTATATTTGAGAAGAGTATGCACATGCTCCAAACCAGTGTGCCCCATTGTATACCACCCTGTGAATGAGGACTATTGTCAGAAAATCTGGTTCCTCGCTGTCATGTATGATCATGCATGATCGTTGGCATGAATCCTAGGTACAATCGGCCGAGTCTCGGCTGTGGCGAGCTTGGAGGCAACTGATACTAGTAGAGAGAACAACCGTGAGCAACACAGCCTGTGAAACAGGCGACGAAGCTGACGAGTAGATTCGTACCCCATGGAAGCCACAGGTACACGTGGGAAATCCTCTCCCAAGACTTCGATCGACTTGAGGTCCAACTGCTCTTCCGGAGGAGTTGAATGTCAATAGGACGAGTGGCTGTGGCGAGCGCACAGACCAGGAACTTGAGATGGATGTTCACACCGCTCTAGAATGATCCGGCGACAGCTCGAGAGCTTCGGCAGTCGTTCCTAGCAGATTCAAAGCGTCCCTTAGCGCGCAGCCGCAGTTGCGCTGTGCACTGTGCAAGCTGTACTGGCTGCTGCGCTACACCTTTCCGGCGTGCTTGTGCAAGCAATGGTGATGGTAATTTGCACCGTCAATCGCGTCTCAAGCAGAGAAGACTTCGTGCGGACTTGGCAAGAGTCTGGCCAACGGGACGAGTCGAGCTCGCCAAGCCCTCCAACAGCTGGCGGGGCATCGCTATGGCCGTCCGTCACTGCAATGCTCAGAGGAGTTTTCGGATGTCTAAGAGGTGTGGAGATCTGGTGCCCCCAAACCACGCCTTTGTCCTTGTCGGCGCGAGCCGAGGAGGTTGCCGGCGAGTCGGGAAACGGAGTCGAAAATGGAGTGGACCGAGTCAGAACTTGATGAGGGCCGAGTCAGACAACAGATACAACGGACTACAACGCAAACAAATCAGAAAAGAAAAAATTGGGGGGCAGGGCCTGCAACGAAGGCCACCTGGGTGAGCGGGCGCACACACGGGGAAAAGATTGGAATGACATGGAATGACAGAATGACCAGGCTAAACCCGATAGGCTTCTGAAACCTGACTAATGCTTCTCCGGGCCTCAAAGACGGACTCCACTGGCAAAGGGCCGGGGTGCGAGAATGGGAATCCGGTCGGAAGCGGCTGGCCTTGTCGGTGCAGGGAATCCGCCTATTGGTTTCAAACCATGCGTTCGTGCTTGGGGATGCTTGGGCACTTCAGATCTGCAGCCGAATCCTACACTTTACACAGCTGCCCCCCACAAGAAGCGCAGCACCACCCGCCTTCCTGCCATGTGGAGAGCAGTGGATCCCGATAAGGTGCTGGGTATGCCGCCACACTGTGCGAACCTTTCGGCCAAGAAATGTGGTCTCCCTACACTCTGCTAAGGTTTTGGCCATGTGGGTCTCAGATCCCTTCGGAGCCAAGAAATGCAGGGCTTCCAGGTGTTTGTCTTCCAGGATTCCCCCGGTCGTGAAATTGTGAGTTCGCACTTCACATCCTACTTGCGAACCATGGGTCTTCCTGGGGCCCCTGGCAGGTGACGTCTGAAAACATCCGCAGCTGCTGCACCTGTGCTAATCCAGGCAAGGAAAATACAATGATCTTCGCATAAGGTAGAACAGGAGTTTTTGCAATGATGTTTATATACGTACCACGGGACAGACCAGGATCATCGCAGCAAGAGTAGGGAAGAGGTTTGTAGATTGCCATGCAATCTCTGGAAGCACCTTTGATTGCTTCCATCTGCCTATCAATCGCCATCCAGTCTGGCTTCGGGGCAGGAGTATGCGCAAGTTGAAAGGAATGCGAGTGGAGAAGGAGGATCACGGCGAATTCTGAGTTGTTTGGCATACTTCAGCTCTCTCGCCCAGGGTGCACCTTCCACTCTGTCGAGACCTGTGTGAGGGGAATCAACCGCCACCTGACAGGCAGCCGCCGTTGCAATACCATGCAAGGTCTGTTCGAATATCTATATATATATTTATTTATTATTATTATTTTTTATATGGTACCCCCCCCCTCTCCCAAAACCCCACGTTTAAAAAACAATCAGCCAGCATCGATGTTCATAAAGTCTAGGAATCTAATCTTCGGTTTAGGCATTAAAACCTTTAAGCCCTTTGAGTTTTTTTGTGTTTAATAGGTCTAAGGTCTAATGGTTCTGAACCCCGAAAGCCTGTAGGATTTGGGATTAACCTTAAACCCTGCACCTTTAAATTACACCGCAACCCTTGACCTTTAAACCATATAGGGTTAAGGTTTGAAGGTTTGGGGTTTCAGTTCCCCCTCCATGCCACAGATCAACTCAGATGGTAGCCTGAAAATAGTCTGCGAATCTGCGTTTCCTCGAGAAAACGCAGTTTCGCAGATTTGCTGCCCACCCCCCCCCCTCCATGCCACATATCAACTCAGATGGTATCCTGAAAAAAATCTGCGAATCTGCGAATCTGCGTTTCCTCGAGAAAATGCACATTCGCAGATTTGAAATCTGCATTTCCTCGAGAAAGCGCAGATTCGCAGATTTGCTGCCCACCCCTCCGCCCCCCCCTCCATGCCATCGTTTAGGTAGCCTGAAAAAAATCTGCGAATCTGCGAATCTGCGTTTCCTCGAGAAAATGCACATTCGCAGATTTGAAATCTGCATTTCCTCGAGAAAGTGCAGGTTCGCAGATTTGCTGCCCACCCCCCCCTCCGCCCCCTCCATGCCATAGATTCTCTCAGATGGTAGCCTGAAAACAATCTGCGAATCTGCGAATCTGCGTTTCCTCGAGAAAACGCAGATTTGCAGATTTGAAATCTGCATTTCCTCGAGAAAGTGCAGGTTCGCAGATTTGCTGCCCACCCCCCCCTCCGCCCACCCCCCCTCCATGCCGTAGATTCTCTCAGATGGTAGCCTGAAAACAATCTGCGAATCTGCGAATCTGCGTTTCCTCGAGAAAACGCAGATTTGCAGATTTGAAATCTGTGTATGCCTAAACCTGAAGATTAGATTTCCAGACTTTATGTGCCTTTAAACCTAAGGTCTGGGGATTTCTACTTTCAGCGCCTATAGGGTTAAGACCTTGGAACCTTGTAGAACAGTATAGGCTTCAGGGTTCTAACCCTAAAGGGTTTAGGGTTTAGGTTGAAATGCCTAAACCTTAAACTGTGGGCTTAGGTTTACATGCATTAATTTCCTTTTAAACCTTAACCTATAGGGTTTAAAGGTTGAATTGCCGGTTAAGTTTCAATGCCTAAATCTTAAACCTGTAGGGTTTAAAAGTTAGGGTTTGGGTTTAATTTCCGGCTTAGGTTTTAATCCTTACATCTGAAACCCTAAGTCTTTAAGCCTTAACCCTACAGGGTTTGAAGGCCCAGGGTCTAGGTTTAATTTTAAAGGTGGAGGGTTTAAGGCTAAACCCTAAACCCTATAGGCTTTGAAGATTCAGAATCCTTAGACCTTGCACCTGTAAAAAAAATCGTAGGGCTTTAATAGAACACTATAGGTTTTAGGGTTCTAACCCTAAAGGGTTTAGGGTTTAGGTTGAAATGCACTAATCTTGATCCACTAACCTTTAAACCTTAACCCTATAGGGTGTAAAGGTTAAGGCTTAGTTTCAAGCTTGATTAGTGCACAAGAGATTCATCATGTTGAAGCATCCAAGAGGACCACACGAATAGCTAGAACTGCCAAAGGCGAAGATGCTCTAATGGCAGGAGATACATTTGTCTTCTAACGATGTCATAGCCGTAAAGAGGCACCATGTTGAAGCCTGTCTTATGAAACATCGATGCTCGCTGATTCTTTCTTGAACGTAGGGTGTTGGAGGGGGGGGGGTAGCATCTATATATATATATATGCACATATAAATTAGTTTACCTGGAGGATCTAGATCGAGGTCTACAAAGAAAGTGAGTCTACATAGCATTGATCTGTCGCGTTATGTCCTAGAAGCGCATGGGTTTGGGAGTGCGAATCGCTAATGGGCAAGAGCTAGATGCGAACCTCCAAGCTACGGTGCAGCTCTCCAGGCTGCAAGGATGCAACTTCCTATCCAGATGGATCTGAAGGCAGGTAAACAGCGGCCTGAGCGCCCGATTGGCTGACTGTAAGGAGCGCGAACGCTTCTGTTCGGACAATGTCGCGTCAGACTCTAGGAATGGCAGGCTTACTTCGAAATCGGCTCCGGATATGGATCATGACCCATCAGGATGGTGCTGGCACTGCCTCTCAGAGACACATGCCCCACAGGCCTCACATCCTCCAGAAATGGGAAATATTGAGCCGCTCTCTCGACGCGAATTCTTGCTCTGCTCCTACGTATAGGACTTCTTGTGACATTGCAACGGATGCGCAACAGCAAAAGTTTGAGGCCAACACTGAACCTGAGACCCCAAACACTCAGCCCTGGACCCTCAATATGCACTCTTCCTTGCTCCGAAGTGGCATCGTGGCTGAGGGTACTGGGTGCGAGTAAGGGATCGCCGAGTCCTTCGTCATCTCCTTGGACCCGCGATGACCCGCGCTATGTACACGTGATACGTTCTTGTACGCCGGGATATGCATCGCTGCACGATCATCTCAACACCACGATGCACTACCAATCACTACCATACCGCAGGTGCAACGTGGTATGGCGGAGAAGAGCATACTGACATTTCGAGAGCTGAAGCTCAACATGTTCTGAAAGCCTGCCTATCCTGCTTACTCGAAGAACGTCCCAGACAGCAAAGTGGAAATAGACTTGAGTAGAAGATAGTATACGCAGAAGTGATTCAGGAAACTCAAGTGCACGTACCGGTAGGGATCCGAAAGAAGCCAAGCTGCCCCCTGATATACAAAGTTCACTGTCTTCAGAATCCCGTCTTGCCGGCCAAAACCATCCTCCAAGAGGATGAAGATGCGGTACTCCTTCCGAAAAACATTACACATGCCAGGAAGACTGTAGCAGCTGATGAAGCCTCTCTGTGCAGTGCGCTTTGGACCATGTCGGGCTGATTCGTCCATTCCCCGGAATTGCGCTAAATCACAACCCGGAAGGATTGTAAAGGGCTTTTCCGGTGGGTTGTTTTGGGCGTCCTTGATGTTTTCTTTGCAGATTTTTTGATGTCATGGACGCTTGTTGATGTGCATTTGAAAAATATGTTTTGATGTTTTTGTGTCTTGGGAGTTCTCTCCTGTACTAACGGCGGCCTGTGCACTGATTTCCCAGCGTTTGAATCATGTTGTGAAACGCGATTGATCACCTTGCAACTACTTTACATATATAATCATATCCATATATATATATATATAATTCCAGGCGTGAACGGACCCTAACACATTGAATTTCGCCGGACCCTTCTGCGGCGTATTCCGCATTCCTTCCGCGAGCCTTCCACAGAAATACGCGACGCCACCTTCTCACCTGAAACAGAAAGCAGCAACCTGAGTAATGTTGCACTGGCTTTAATCGGGCATCCCCCCCCCCCCCCCCCCCACAACAACAACAACAACAGCAACAACAAATTTGGACCCTCTATAAACGCATGGCGCGGCGACCCCCCCAAACAAAGTTGGGGGGCGGGGGGGAACCGCCCTCGGGGCCTCAAGCCTTTAGGACCTTAAGGCCTGAAGCTTTCCAGCTAGCCTTCCACGGCTGAAGCCACGGCCCGTTTAACGTGAAGCTTTTCGGGATTGTAAGGCCTGAAGTTGCCCTGTCTTCCTGGGCTGAAGCCACGGCCCTTAAAACCTGAAGCTTTTAGGGCAGCAAGGCCCTTAAAGGCCTGGAATAAACAACATCTCCCAAAAAACTTGTGAGTATCGCGAGTACCCGAACAAACCTTGTAAAGCGAATCGGACTTGCCCCTGGACTGCCTATCACAAAATTTGTTTGGGGCTTCGTTTCATGATGAAATTCGATACGGCTTTACATGGAACTGGCCGGGCTTAGCTTTCTGGATTCTCCGGGCTCTGGCTCTTCAAGATTCCTGGAGCCCAAGGCCCTCAGGGCCGCAAGCCTTGCAGTACCAGTACTGCGTAAGCCCTTGACCCTAAACACAAACCTTAAAAAAAAAAACAACCATCCGGAAAACAAACAACTTGTGAGAATAGCGGGTCACCCCAACAAACTGATGTCGCAGAATAAATTTCGAAACTTGTGATTATACACCCTACATGTACAAAAAACAGTGCAACATTATATACTGCTTAAGTTTTAGGGTTGAGGGTCAGGGGCCTTGGGTTAAGGGTTTAATGGTACAAAGATATGAGAAGTTAACGAGGGGGGAAGCATAGGAACGGGAGAGGCATGGGCTCTGGGCTTCCAAACGACCCGTTGCCTCCCGCGGAGCTTCCGGCTTCCGCAACCCTAAAAGCGGGCGCGATTCTTCTTTTTTGCCGGCATGTTGGGCGTCTAAGTTTCAAGCATGCCGACCTTCCGCGAATGCCACGCCTTCCGCGGAAAGCAATGATGTGTGCTATAAACTTTACTCATGCAAGTTTTCCTGCCCCAAGGTGAACTCGCAGTCGTAGAGGAATGAGACTTTGGCTTGCTTGCCTCAGCTATCCAACAAGGGCTGCCGATTCTGAGCCAACATCGATATGCTGCCTGGAGATTGGTGAAAATAGGTTTTTCTAATAAACTCGCAAGGACGAATACACAGAGTCCGATGCTGCAAAGTGTAACAGCATGCCATCAGTACTCCGTACTCAGGCGAGGATGCCCAGGATAGGCGCTCGCACGTTTTGGCACTTTCCACCTGCCCGACTCAGTACATCGCAAAAGGAAACATGGCTCAGAGATTACCCTCCGCAACGATGCGCTACTGCGACTGTGCCACTACGCCAGTACTTCTCCTAGTCGACGTGTCGTGCCGTGTCGGTTGCATCAAGATTCAAACATAAATCATCATACCCGCAAAATTCTGTGGTGGATTCAAGTCTCCGGGGGCCTTGCGCTGCCAAGTACATGGCCTTCACCCGCTGGACCCACACGACTGGCTCATCGCCGAGGAGAACCTGGACATCTCTCACTTTTGACCCTGCCATTAACACAAACACAGGTTTGAATGGGTCACCGCGAACTCGGGCAAAGCTGACCAGGAAGCTACAGCTTTTCGGCCGTCATGAAGGTTGATATTGATATAGGTTGATAGGTTGATGGAAGTACTGTCCGCAGGGGTATTGAAGCACTCAACATGGTCCCTTGCACAAGCAAAGCTTAGATGGTCAGCATGCGACTTAATGACCTGCTGGCTTTACAGCCAAGGGCTTGGCTGCACGCTGGGAAGGTTTTTCTGAGCACGCCGCTTGGTCTGCGTATCCACCGGCTGTAGGGATGGCATACATCCACTCGAAGCCCTTCGCCGCCAAGCTGTGGCATGTCTTGATGCCACTTCAGAACAAACATCTTCATGCTATCTGCATCGTTTGGCACACTTCCAAATTCTTCTGGGTGCTAACATCGTGCTAACCAAGGCCTCATGGCTGGGAATGTACTGGAGGCCCACCGCAGTGGCGTTTCGGAAGTAAATGAATGGACCTGGCAGCTTCAGCGCTCGGACTCTGCATTTGTACGAGGCCATCTTTCTTCGCAGTCACGATGCTTGGAGGAGTAAAGGCGCAGGAATCGCAAGATGTGAGCTATGTCGCCTGCCATTATACTAGCAAAACATGGACCTGGCGTCAGGGGCCTGTGGAAACTACAAACACGTGGCCCAGCCTCTCTCGGTCATGCTCAAGCTTTGTATCCGTGTTGTAAGTTTGGATTGGCGTTTTGTATTCCTGTGCCCAGATTCTGTCAGAGTGCTGGCGTTTAGGCCGTGTGTTGGGCGCGGCGGAATGCGCAGCCGCATTCGTTCAGTTTTAAGCCCGCCCAATGGAATCCACCTTGGTCGAAAACAACGGACGTCACGTAGAAGTCGATGTAGGCGGCCTTCAAGAGAAGGGGCCCAACTCACCACCCGAAGGTAGGTACCCCGGGACCTATTTCGTTGCTTGATGATGTTGCCAATGGCACGCTGCTTACATTTCTACACCCTGCACATCTACCTTTAAAGCTTCGAGCACGCATGTTTTTTACTCTGGCAACCTCTCTGTCTCAGAGGTAGGGGCTGTGCCTGGCGCAGCCGTAGTCGGTTTAGTAGGGCGAAAAAAAGAGTGTACCATTTCCGATCTGGAGGGACCACAGATTGGGTTTTGTAGGAGTAGTCGACCCTCACAGCAGGCAACCCTTGCCTGATAAGAAAGCCATTAGGCCCACTACGGAGTAGGGTACAGATTCCGGCGGCCGAAAAGGGTACCGGGGTGTAGTGTCGGGTGGTTTAGAAGAGGAAGCGCAGAGTGGCGCCTGTAGGGCCAGACCCCTTGCCTGATAAGCAAAAACCACCACTCTTGGGGTTTTGAGAGTTAGCCATGAGGGGCCACTTAGAGGGAAAAGAGGGCGAGTTGCTAGAGGAGGTCCCTCAGCAAGTACACATTTAGATGTACTCCCAGGACCATTACGAGGGTTTTCTCATGAAGTGCCCCTCAACAGTAGCTGGACACTTCCAAAAAGAAAGGCGAGATCTGACCTCTAACGCTTTTTTTGGTGTTGGAGGGCCTAGGGCCTGCAAAGGCTTGCTGCAATGCCCGGTGCAGCCACCCTTTTTCAAAACAACCCTTGACACTCCTTCACCCCTCACAGAGCCTCCCCAAGAAGTCCAAATTCTTCATCCTCCTGGAGAATCCAGAGCCGGTAGTTGAAGCCTTGGAGCTTGTTCAGGCGCGGTACGGCTTCGGCGATTTCGGCGGTTTCGGCCATACTGCAACTGTCCTACGATTTTCAACTCGAGCTTCGGATAGAGAAGCATCCTGTGAGACTGTAGTGGACTGCAGTAGCATGGCACTACAGTACATCAAAGAGTCTGGAAAGGTTGAGGGAAGTGTCGGGGGCTTGTTGAGGATTCGTCCGCGTTGAGGCGTTCACTTCTTCATGTCTGGACTCTCTCCCAAGGGGGTGAAGTGTGAAAGAGGGAAGGGGCCTGGGACCTCTGAAACGCCAAGGATTGATCGTAGGGGCCGGGCCAGCGAGTGCTTTCTGTGGCACATGGTGACACTCGCCGTGTTGAGGTAAGTGCGACAAGATCTCTAGGACTGGGATTGAGAAGCCGCCAGGAGCCGGGAATGTCTCGATGGACATGGCTGCCTTTGATATTTGACCTCCTGAAGACCCATGAGCCCCTGAACATTCCGTTTCAATGCCACGTGCGCCTGAGGCCCAGGCGGCCCCCGACGCTCAGTGAGCACCCGGAGAGCTGGAACGTGATGTTCTGGGCGACCAGGAGAAAACGAAAGCTGGATTTGCTGTTACTGTCTGGCTCTTTGCGGTACACGACTCAATGCAGGGCCGCAGGCCGTGCAGCTCACCATGAGATTGCCCGGGATGCGGCAGTTTGGGCCGCCTGACGGGCCGCGGGACTCCAGTTTTCATATGCACAGTCGCGCATGCAAGCCTTTATCTTTACAGAATCGTACGCCCTGCGGGAGTGATTTACGACATTTAGGTATAGAGTCTACAAACGAAATATTAGAAAATCTCCAATCAGGGTTCTTATCGCTATTCTTAGTAGGGTATGCGCTCTGGGGTGTCAAGCGCAATCTGGTTATTTTCGGGCCCTATTTCCGGGGCCTATCCCAGATCTTCCTCAAGCCTGGAGCCTAGAGCCTCGCAGGTTATGTTCTCCCGTCCTCGTAGCTAAGACCTATCGTGTAGACGCTGAATCTCCTAGAGCCTAGCATGGAGTCCTAAATTTTCGGCTCTCAGATTCCCTATCTGGCAGCCAACCCATTATTTCCACATGCTTTTCCCCAGATCTTGAACTATTCCGCCAAATTCCCGCTTTAGATTGGTCATTGATGGGAAGATATCTGCAAACAATATTCTCGTTCCCCACAGCTTTCCGGAACTTTCATATAATGCACTATCTACATTCCCTCGTTCCCCTCGAATGCTGAATAGTCTTATAGTTTGAGGCGTTATTTGTTCTTTCATCCGTGATATGTGTATACCCATATGTATATATATATATATATAGAAACATGCATTTGTATATGTATATGCATATGATGTGCATCTATCTTGAACTCGACCTTGTTGTTGCATGACCATTGGAGACAAGTCCTTTGCTTTCTTCCTTGCCAAAAGGGCTCACTTTCATAAACGTCGTCCTGTCAGGACTCATAAAATTGAAACGAATTCATCGGGTTCTTCAGAAGACAATGCATGTAGCGAGCGTGTTGCCGTGGGGCAGACCTATATCTAATGCATGGATATAAAATATCAAGGTTTAGGCGAGAATCCTTCTTGACAAACCTTATAGCCAGGGCTTGCCAAGGGTTCTGTTGAGATATGTATGCGGCTACTTCTCTGTTCAAAACATTAAACGTCCACAGGGGCGTATGTTGCAGCACATTGTCTGGCAGGGAGTGCCCCTTTTGCGGGGAAAGCATCCCTTTGACAACATCTGAATGTTGTTAGCATAAGGAAAGAGCGAGCAAGTTCTTGCAATGGCGCATTGGAGAGTGAAGGCCAAGCAAAACAAAACAGCTCTGACGCTGAAAACGCACTCCTCTTCGAATCGAAGATATCTAGTTTAGCGTACTTGTTTCCTAAGGTGCATGTGCTCTTCAAAGCAAACATTTTGTTGTGACGTGGCGAACTCTGCCCATTCACTTGAGGGCCTAAGGGCATGTGCGTATCCAACGGGATAATGCCTGTACAAGCCTTGTTTTGTTTGGGGTGACGTTTTTTCTTGATTCAACAAAAGTCTCTAAGAAAGATGCTATGGGGCACCGTTGCCTGGCAAAAGGCATGCTCCTTCCATTGTGTCTGTTTTTGGCCCCTCACCCGCAGGAGACCAAACTGTTTTCCCACAATGTCTGGATTGCTGGCATTTAGACTGGGGACGTCTATCATGTTGCCATATGTTGCCAAGACCCCATATACGCCCAAAAGCCTATGCTTTGAGAAGCCGCCGGCGTCAGCTTCTTTTGACGGTATTGGTGGCTTTTAGCTGTTGTGCACCATGTTTTTCTCGAGACATACACGTCACCCTTTGTCATTATCACTCGTCAATGATGCACAGCGTACCTCTTCTTAGGAATCTTGGGGATGTTGCGTCGCGCCAACCGTTCTGCGAATGTGTAACAAGCTACAACCTCACAAAGAGGAACCTGCTACAGTAGCCAGTGCGTGCGCCTAAAGCATTGTGCAGGGACTGGACGTTCGTGCTGGTCATTCCCTGGGCGCAGTGGGTGGAACTGTGGCTTGAGGACTTCTCGAGCTCTCGATCTTCATGTCCATCGACAAGCAAAGAAAATGCGACAAGGTCAGCGTTGCATAGTCGGAAGAGCTGAACGTTTGGGGGCAAATGCGCTTCACCTCTGAGTGTGCGGCAGCCACTGCCTCAGCACAAGGGAGGACGCAGGAAGATGCACGAAGAAACCGTGGACCCTTGACTAGCGACCTCAAGAACCGGGCGGGGGGTTGTGGCCCGTTGTGGCTTGTGACTCAGGGATTTTATGTTAGGGCGGCGCTCTGTTTCTCACTGCTCTCACCTATCGGAAACTGAGGCCCTCGGCATTCCACTGGACACACTTTGTACACAGCGTGCAAAAGCCGTGGGATGCAAGCCTGAAGCACCGAAATCCCTGATCCGGAACTGCGCAAACCCTGAATCGCACCACGCGTTCTATCTACTCAAGTGGCGTGATTTGTACGCGCTTGAGAGCTTCATTGCCAATCGGGGGGCGACCGTATCTGTGATGATCATGTAGACTGGGCCACGCCGCAGAGGGGCAAACTCGAGAACGAGCCCGTCCTAATGGCCGACAGGAACACTGACTAGAAGTATTTGAACCCACCTGAAGACTCTCGTAGCCGCTAGCCTATGCCCAGACGCGGGCCACTGAACTCAGAAAGTCGGATGCTGCCTCGGTGACTTTGGTAAACTTCGTAATGACGACCTCTGGAACCTCAGCTCCGGAAGTGCCGAAGTACCAGTGTGCACTATGTGCGCTCTTATGCTACGTACTGTGTTGTACACTATATGCCTTATGATGCCTTTGACAAAGCCTGAGGCATGGCGAAAGCTATTGCCACGAGCTTCGAAAAGTACTGGTCATAGGGCAACTAAAAATGGAACTCTTCCACCAGTACTCTTCTGCTTCCTGCTATCTGCTGAAGAGATGTGGGCGGCAAAACAGAAGACGTTCTTCGCGAATACACAGAGCTACGGTGAGGAAACTCGAGTTTCACCATGTTTCACCCAAAAACCCATAAAGCCCTGAGGCAACTAGCCTCTGGAGCAGCTCAATGCGGGAGCGCTGATAGTCAGGTGCCTTAGACGCCTTAGTGCATGGCCGTAAGTCAGATCCAGCCGGAAACTTCGTGCCGTCCAAGAAACGTCATAAATGTCAATCAGGCGCACGCCTTCCTCAACATACCTCATGTGGCCGTAACTCCGGATGGGAGGGACAGGGATGTCAAGGGATGTCAAGGGTGGCCAAGGGAGGTGTCATGCCAGAAGCGGGTGGAGATTCTCTGTGGTGTGGCCCTCCAAGGAGATGGACAGGGCAAGTCCGTGGCGTGATCTCCGAAAATAAAATATCCGATCACAGTGCCTATCCAGTTAGTAGACCTCCAACCGGCGGGGTGCAGTGACTGATTCTCCAGTGTGGGCACGTTGTGGCAGAAGTCGATAACTTCCTGGACACGCTTTGCGTTCTGACTTCCAAGACCAAGGGCCTAAAGCACGTCATGCTACACAGAGGACTGTATGCCTCGTGGAATAGATGCTGTTGAGAAAAAGCTTCTCTTTAACAACACGACTTCCTCCCGTTTCAAACCTGCATTTTCTGTCCTACATGCAAGCCCGTAAGGCTGAGAAGAGTGGAGAAAAGGTACGTGCAGGAAGGATTTCCGCAAGTTCTGGTCAATCCATATCTCACGGAGGTTAGATCTTTTGTATCCCAAGGCTCGATTGAATAGGGTGTTGTCTGTTCCGCCAGCGAGGATTTGGTGTAGATGGAGAAGAAGCCATATCCTGGCTATGGGCATGGGGCTTCTGGCAACCACTTCAGACTCCAGCTACCTCAGGAACTCATGTGCAAAAGGAGTGCAACAACAGTGAGGCCCATAAGCTGCAGGGCTACGACTCCTACGTCACATAGGGCACATATCTCAAGCATTTCTTCAAGTGTGTCTGTTGTGGCTGGAAAGTTATGTGTTGTGAGTGGCCCGGCGTCCTGACTGCAGTGTCTGGAAAGGCAAATTGTAGGAGTTGAGGCTCCCTGCAACCTCGAACCTTGGAAGGTGCACTCCAGGCTTCTGGACGATGTGCCCTCTCCCTACTATGCCCGTGACAAATGTTGCGCAAGTAAGTATTGCCGCAAGAAGAGGCGGGGGGGAGAAGGGCAGACCAAACATCCATAGTAGTGCAGCAGACCGGAGTGAGGGCAATATTACGGGACCTGCCCAGCAAAGGACCCCTCCCCCCCCCCCCCCTGTTGCTTCATTGGCACAGCTGGGTACGGATATGTCACTACAAGGCGGACGCTAGGTGCGCCAGATGGACTGTCTGCGTACGTATCTTGAGGATCCGGTTTGAGTGTCCGGTTTCCAAAGAAAATATCCTCGCACATGTGTCCCGACGGCTTGGCACGAGGAGCACAAATTATCACAGCTTCTCTCAATCGCGTGACAAATCTCTTTTTGCACATGCACAACACTGATATTGTTGCGCATGTATCGTTGCAGCTTGGCAGGCACAAGAAAGCTCAGAAATGCGATCCTGTATCGTTTGCAAAACTCCTGCAAGCTCTGAAGGAGCTTGCTTTCGTGATGACAGGGGACCTTGCTTTCAAGCAAGAATGAAGTGACACGGACCTGCACTTGGAGTGCTTACGTGTATCTTCGGACATCTGCCCTTCATTCGAAGGCGCTCAAACCGGCGATCTCCATACAAAGCACCGGTGGTCAGCACGAAGTAGCCAACGTAGAAGTCCACCTCTCCATGTCAGTGGTCGGGGCCACCCGCACCAATCGTATTTATTGACTTGCTAGCTAGTTCTTTTGGGCTGGTCCCGGAACACGTTTTCAGGTCCATTCTATACTCGGAAAACGCTGCAGAGTTTCCATGTTGATCGTGGCTTGTAAAGCATAAGTTTCCACATAAACGGGGCTGAGTTTCCACATAAACGGGGCCGAGTTTCCACATAAACGGGGCCGAGTTTCCACATAAACGGGGCTGAGTTTCCACATAAACGGGGCTGAGTTTCCACATAAACGGGGCTGAGTTTCCACATAAACGGGGCTGAGTTTCCACATAAACGGGGCTGAGTTTCCACATAAACGGGGCTGAGTTTCCACATAAACGGGGCTGAGTTTCCACATAAACGGGGCTGAGTTTCCACATAAACGGGGCCGAGTTTCCACATAAACGGGGCCGAGTTTCCACATAAGCGGGGCTGAGTTTCCACATAAACGGGGCGCAGTTTCCACATAAACGGGGCGCAGTTTCCACATAAACGGGGCTGAGTTTCCACATAAACGGGGCTGAGTTTCCACAAAAACGGGGCTGAGTTTTCACATAAACGGGGCTCAGTTTCCACATAGAACGGGCTTGCGCAAAAGTCGTTTAAGGATGCGGTGCGGTTCAGGTTGTCAAGGTTCATGACTAGGAGTTTAGGAAGGAGTTTAGGGCAGTTGATTGAGGGTCGAGGCTTACGGCCCACCTAGGGTTGAAACCTTCCAAGCCTTTCAAAAAATTGCAAAGGTAAGACAGGGAACACAAAAATCACCTCAAACCTGCCCGCATTGCAAGCCTCCACAGGGAACCCATCCCAAAGCCCAACGCCTTCAACCAAGAGTCCTAAAGTCCTAAGAGTCCTGGAGGCCCAGAGACCCCAAATCTTTGGTCTTTCAGGGATGTTACTTCAGGAGATCCTGGTGTGCTCGAATCTGCAGAACCCCTTCACCCCCCCCCCCCCCAGCCCCGAAGCATCACAGTCAAGCCCCAGATCTCTGCAGCCGTAAACTTCAACCCCCAACCCCCCCTCGCCCCCCCCAGCCCTCCAGAAGCTTCACAGTTAAGCCCCAGATCTCTGCAGCCTTAAACTTCAACCCCCAACCCCCCCCCCCCAGCCCTCCAGAAGCTTCACAGTTAAGCCCCAGATCTCTGCAGCCTTAAACTTCAAACCCCCCCGAATAGCAGCCGTACCTCCAAAAGTCCAAATTCCCAAAGACAAGGTTCCAGAGCCCCCCAAACCAACTTGCTGCGGAACCAAATAGCACCCCCACCTGTGCCTCCTCTTCGCCCCACCCCGAAAAACTCGCGCGTGCGTGCGTGCGCGCCGTGCATGCATGTGGAAACGCGAACCGGTTTTGCGGAAACTTTTGCGGAAACGCTGGCCGGGTTTTCGGAAACTTTTGTGGAAACCCAGGCAGGTCTTGCGGAAACGTTTGTGGAAACACGGGCCGGTTTGGCGGAAACTTTTGTGGAAACACGGGCCGGTTTTGCGTAAGCTTTTTTGGAAATACGGGCCGGGTTTGCGGAAACTTTTGTGGAAACCCGGGCCGGTTTTGCGGAAACTTTTGTGGAAACACGGGCCGGTTTTGCGGAAACTTTTGTGGAAACACGGGCCGGCTTTGCGGAAACTTTTGTGGAAACACGGGCCGGTTTTGCGGAAACTTTTGCGGAAGCTTTGCGGAAAACACCCAAAAAAGGCTAAAAAGTATAGACCGCGCACGTTTTAGGATGACGTTTCCGCAAAACCGGCCCGTGTTTCCACAAAAGTTTCCGCAAAACCGGCCCGTGTTTCCACAAAAGTTTCCGCAAAAAGTTTCCGCAAAACCGGCCCGTGTTTCCACAAAAGTTTCCGCAAAACCGGCCCGGGTTTCCACAAAAGTCTCCGCAAACCTGGCCCGGCCCGTGTTTTCGCAAAAGTTTCCGCAAAACCGGCCCGTGTTTCCACAAAAGTTTCCGCAAAACCGGCCCGTGTTTCCACAAACGTTTCCGCGAAACCTGCCTGGGTTTCCACAAAAGTTTCCGAAAACCCGGCCAGCGTTTCCGCAAAAGTTTCCGCAAAACCGGTTCGCGTTTCCACATGCATGCACGGCGCGCACGCACGCACGCGCGAGTTTTTCGGGGTGGGGCGAAGAGGAGGCACAGGTGGGGGTGCTATTTGGTTCCGCAGCAAGTTGGTTTGGGGGGCTCTGGAACCTTGTCTTTGGGAATTTGGACTATTGGAGGTACGGCTGCTATTCGGGGGGGTTTGAAGTTTAAGGCTGCAGAGATCTGGGGCTTAACTGTGAAGCTTCTGGAGGGCTGGGGGGGGGGGGTTGGGGGTTGAAGTTTAAGGCTGCAGAGATCTGGGGCTTAACTGTGAAGCTTCTGGAGGGCTGGGGGGGGCGAGGGGGGGTTGGGGGTTGAAGTTTACGGCTGCAGAGATCTGGGGCTTGACTGTGATGCTTCGGGGTTGGGGGGGGGGGGGGGGGGGGTTGAGTTTACGGCTGCAGAGTCTGGGCTTACTGTGAGCTTCTGAATTGGGGGGGTTGAAGTTTAAGGCTGCAGAGATCTGGGGCTTACTGTGAAGCTTCTGGAGGGCTGGGGGGGGGGGGGGGGGGGGGGGGGGGGGGGGGGGGGGGTGAAGGGGTTCTGCAGATTCGAGCACACCAGGATCTCTTGAAGTAACATCCCTGGAAGACCTGGGGTCTCTGGGCCTCCAGGACTCTTAGGACTTTAGGACTCTTGGTTGAAAGCGTTGGGCTTTGGGATGGGTTCCCTGTGGTGATTTTTGTGTTCCCTGTCTTACCTTTGGAATTTGAAAGGCTTGGAAGGTTTCAACCCTAGGTGGGCCGTAAGCCTCGACCCTCAATCAACTGCCCTAAACTCCTTCCTAAACTCCTAGTCATGAACCTTGACACCCTGAACCGCACCGCATCCTTAAACGACTTTTGCGCAAGCCCGTTCTATGTGGAAACTGAAGCCCCCGTTCTATGTGGAAACTCAGCCCCGTTTATGTGGAAACTCAGCCCCGTCTATGTGGAAACTCAGCCCCGTTTATGTGGAAACTCAGCCCCGATTATGTGGAAACTCAGCCCCGTTTATGTGGAAACTCAGCCCCGTTTATGTGGAAACCCAGCCCCCTTTATGTGAAAACTCAGCCCCGTTTATGTGGAAACTCAGCCCCGTTTATGTGGAAACTCGGCCCCTTTTATGTGGAAACTCAGCCCCGTTTATGTGGAAACTCAGCCCCGTTTATGTGGAAACTCGGCCCCTTTTATGTGGAAACTCAGCCCCGTTTATGTGGAAACTCAGTGCTTTTTACCTTTCAAATCGCACTTTTTGGGCCCCAAACATCGAGTATAATAAACGTGTTGAGGGACCAGTCCAATAGTTCTTGTTATCGTTAACCACAAAAGGCCGCTGAGTATGAAAAGAATCGTCAGCCACAGTCTGCTACAAGATCGTAAGCCGCAGTCTGCTACAGGAGTGATGGTATACTCTGGTATACGATGATTGTTTACTCTACTGTGCACCATAGCGCAATGTGGCACAGCATACAGGTTCTGTATACTGTATACTGTCCATCCAATACTCCAGCGCACTATGTAGACCATGCTTGCTTTGCACCATACACTAGAATATGTTACACTTGACAGGCGGACAATACTATACTTCTGTATATCGCAACGTGCTCTACCAAGAGTGTATATAGAGCCCCTCCGAGACGTGCCTCGGAAGTGTCATTCGGCGGGACCCATCGGAACTCACCGCCGAGCATGTCAATGTCCTCCGGACCCAGAAACTCCAGAAACTCATTTTGAAAGGTCTGGAGCTTGGGCGGCTTGTTCTTCGACTGAGGACTGTTCCCAACGCGGTTACACATTTTACATCACACTTGAGCCTGACTTCTAGCAGACTGTCCTGCTTTACGACACGGCGGGTGGCACAAGCCTCCATCCAATCGGAGTCCGCAACAAAGCTTGCAAGCACCAAGCAATCGAGCAATCCAGAATATCTAAGTCTCGAAGTGCCAGTTGTCTCATAATCGCCCTCAGTTTTCAGGCCGTCCCTCGTTATCGGTTGTGCATGGCTCCTGGTCGGCATCTATGAAGTAGATGTTGCCCACGGTAGCAATCTCATCCTCATGCACCGAGGGTGTGGTTTGAGAGTGCCAGCCACTGCTAGCCTTCATGGAACCACCAAACTTGAAGCCAAAGTGCCAGCTCTTGGCCTGAAAGCGTCAGGGCGGGGGAAAACTTCTGCGTTTCACCAAGCTTCTACGATTGGCTGTGCAACGGCAGTTGACTGCTCCACGAGGCTGGATCGCGTGTAGATGGCCACTTCCTGCTGCATGCAAGGCCATGCAAGGACATGCCTAGCACTCAGAGGATGTTGAATGCTGCCTTCTTAACAGCCCCAGCACAGAGCGTGAAGCAAGCAGATCCCCCGCACTGCTGCATCAGAGAACGCCTCAAGATGACAAGAATGCCACTGCAATCCGCTAGGTTGAAAGATACATACAAATATGTCCCTGTACAATACTGCCCATGAACCTATTCTATGTTTTGAGCTTCTCGCCCAGTCTGCATCCGTGGAGCTTGCCTCAAACGTGTTGATTGGCGTGTCAGCGCTTATGAACTCGTACCTTGCAGCTGCAGAGAATCATGGTTTGGCTCTGAACCTTTCCGTAGTCCTCGTCACTACGACTGCGAAGCCTTCTGCTTGGAGTGGCTGTTAGTAACAAGAGTGTAACAAGCAAGCGGAAAATCCTTACCTGCAAGCCATTGCAAGCCCCAGTCCCAGGTGCTGCACTCCCACAGGCACCAGGCCGCCCGGTCCGAGGCCTGCCACCTGGAGTCACTGGACCCGAAGGAGCGTGTAGAAGAGAAAAAGCTGGAGAGATGCCGAGCTGAACGACGGATGAAGGCAATTGCACGTGTGATACCTCGACATTGCGCCGCCAAAAGAATCATGAAGCGAGCCCATTTCTCGGAAAGTTTGGACAATGAATTGCAATTGAAATGGCTGCGGATTGGGGACCAGGATGATCTCTTGTGTGAATGAATGTGAATGAGCAAAAATGCTGTAAGACCAGTTTTCCGCATACATCGCGGAACCCTTTTGCCTGCGACCGCTGTCCCACGGAGTCACGGATGATAACGTTGTAGTAGGTGACCTGAACATGGTGTCAGGAGCTCTACATTCTACGTCTTGGGCTGATGATGGCTGATGCCGCTTGTTATGTTTGTGTAGTCTGGTAATCTGAGTCGCCGCGTAGCCATGGCACCGATGCGTGTTGAACCCAAGCTTATCACATCCTCCAACCTTGGACCCAAGAGCGGCCTGCTCAGCATCTGTAGGGGCATCCCACAGAATGTCGCCGCCCATCTCGAACCTTAGATTTACCCCAATCTAGGCTACGTGACTATGCGATGAAGCTGCCCTTCTTGAACATTGTTCGACAGTGATGACCTTACAGAATGACACGAGATGAAAAAAGGTAGTGCAATATGTGTGGTACAAGCTGTCTGTTGTTGGACGAAAGCCACACTGCTCAGGCTCTAGAGTTCAGAGTCTCGGCCAAGCATGGGAAGACTCCACCTATCGACCCTCGGTTGAGGACCTCCCTCGAGGGCGGAGGTAATCCCTTGCAAACGCCCGCAAACCCACGAAGATGCACAAAGCCACTCAGTCCCCAAAATCTGAACCGTCAGTGCCTGACGCCTCTGCCCTGAGTGCAGCCAGAGAAGCTCATCCAGATCCTTGTCTTGAAAAGTGATGTTTGTCGCGCTGGCGTCAGCGTCGTAGATTGCCTGGTTGAAAACAAAACTGAGACGATGGCATCGCACTGTAGTTCCTGAGATTGAGAATTAAGAGGAGAACGCCATTTGTTTTTGATTGGGTTTGACTTGGAGAAAGTCAGAGAGGCCAAAGAGAAACGATGCTGAAGTCTTTCGGTTAAGCTCTGGGTTCCTTGGAATTCTACAACCCGTATTCCGTATTGCCCAAGATGGTAAATGTGATCCCCAGTTCTTGTTAGACTGCACATGTCGTGTGGCCAGAGGACCATTTAATGCCCGCCGCGAACGGGTGTAAGGCTGTGGGGAAGTGATTATCTGAGTTTTTAGGTCGGCCGTGGGGCTAGTGCCGATGGCGTCGTCTGCTCCACCAGAGAGCTTCCCGAGAAAACTACGAAGTGTGTGGCGGCATTGTAGTAGACTTCTGGGGGCAGCAGCACCTGTGACGGTGGCACCCTCAACTTGCCCTTCCAGACAGCAGGTCCACGAGTCTGTGTCGAAGCTGACACACACACACACATACACACGCAAGTTAAGCGACATGTGACATCGAGGCCCACACACGACTGACCATCGGCCATTCATGTGCGTGCCCCAGAAATTAACTACCTGCTCTCCAGACAGACAGGCAGGCAGAGAGAGAGACAGAGAGACAGAGACACACACACACACACATCAACCTCTGTAACCCCCCCTTCTGGTCGGGGGCGGTGCCTTGAGTTGCAGGCATTGCCCCGCATGCCAAGGGGATACTGTGGGAGTTTGTGCAGCCAAAAGGGGATTAGCTGAACTTGCTTTTTCCCTTAGTCTTGCTGCCGGTGCGTGTGTGCGTGTTTGGTACGACCACCCCGCACCCCAAGCCCTGTCTCTGTGAAGTGGGCTGTCTTGCCTAAGTGCCCAAATCCAACCCAAGCCGCCCGGCTTGGGGGGGCGGGCCCATGGAGGTTCGGGTGGCGTTTTTCCCAGCTCGGACTGAGGGGCTCGGAGCGTCGAACTCTTGCCGGATCTCTCCAATGACGCAAGCGGAGGGGGGAAGAGATGGCGGGAGGGAACGTTTCCGTTGGCCGGAGTGCACCCCAGGCCGTCCACTCACTCACTCACTCACTCACTCACTCACAACCTCTGTAACCAGCTTTGGAAGCCGTGTTTGCAAGCTTGGATTGTGCAGAAAACCTTTTCTGAGTTAAAACCTACTTTCTACATGCCCGCTGGACATGCTTTCCCCTTGCCTACAACTAATTTCAGGTGCAATCCTCGTGGACGTTCCAGGTCACTGCCGCAGCAATCTGAGAACGGTTGCTGCCGGACCTGGGCTTCCGACAAGCAAAGAAGCCGTTTCGTGCATTCGTAATTGTAGAAGAATTGATACACGCTGCGAGCGAAATGCTCTCACATGGTCAGATACCGGCCAGCATGAACGCAATCTGGATTGGACTGGATTGCCAAACAGATAAACATGTATCCCAGCAACGCATCGTTTGCCAAGTGTATGGTGAAGAAGGATAGCAAGGGCTCAAAATCCGGCTCTGTGGGTGTCCAGGAGACTGTACCTGGCTCTGCACTACAGAAAGCACGGCTCCCGTGATGTAGGTATCTAGGAAATGTCTCTACTTGCATCAGCAACCTTTACAAGCTGCAACTTTGCGGTAGAAGTACAGACTTTCACCACCAACCGCGAGGTGATGCGCACTCAAGACACTCATCCTTCAGCCACTGCGTGCTCTTTCGACAGGAACTCGCATGGCACGCCTCCTATCTGCGTTCCGTCCAGATCCTTGTCAGTGAAGTTCACCTCCCAACTCGGCAAGCAAGCCAAGAAGGTGAACTCAGAAGGATCCCCCTGAAATGAAAACATCTAAGCTGGCCATAAACAAGAACAACACCGTTTGGTCTCCCTTATGGCCGTCATCATCAGAATCATCATCTTCTTGTCTAAGCCCTGCCCTTGTGCTCCGCTCGAAGATAATGTAATTATAGAGCCAATCCTCTTGCGCTTGCATTGCTGTCTTGTGCAGCCTCCTCCGACTTTAGACGATGCGTAAATCGCATAAGAATGCCTCTTGCGAAACTTCAAGAGCCAGCCTGTGGTAGTGCTGAGTCAAAGCCAGCCAACAATTTTTTGCTTGTCGTCGGTGTTAAGGTTCTTCGAAACAGCGCTACCCAGTCAAAAGGGTGACAGGTTTGATTTGTGCGTTGCTGCGGCATCCCTGGCAGCGGCCAACCTCCACCACGGAAAAGGCATCTGTGAGGGGGAGGTAGGCCGGCGTTGTCGACTCCACCAAGAAGGATCCTTGTGATGCTGGTCGTCAATTGTTTCTAGATTGTGCTTTTCCCTGATGCGATGCGATGCTACAATGCTACACTAGACTGCTACTGCAAGAGGGATGTTCGCCCTGGTTGACTGCCTCTGGGGCAGTAGGTGAAGTGATCAGGTTGGGATTCAGCTTGGACCAAATCAACAGAAACCATGGCTACATTCGACGCAGTGCATGCATCTGCCTAAATTCGCGCCAATGGCTCTTGTGTAGACAACGATGTAATCTCGCTCGAGCCGGCTGGTTTCAGCATGCAGCATGGTGGAGAGCAGCTCGTATGGCACCTGCAGTGAAACTTTGGGAGACTGAGTTTTGCTGGGAGTTTGTGTCATAGCGAGAAGTGATCAGCCGCCGCAAGACACATACCACAGGGTGCTAGCAAGAAGGCAGGTGTGGTTCGAAGCTCTGTGTTCACGTGCGTGGTCCCATGTCAGTTGTCTGGCTAGGCATGATCGGCCATGTCTGAATCTTATCTTGGAATCTCTTGCAGGCTGCTTCTGGCAGAGGGACTATACACCACTTCTGCACACCTCAGCACCAACTCTGGACCGGCCGGCGCCAGAGGCGTTCACAGCCAGATACACGAGGTAGTGCGTCACCTGTGCAGTCTACCAACACCCAAACGGACAGACCGGACTCTGACACAGCATCCATGCATGCAGCGTCTTGCGGGTCTCTTGTGCGTGGATGGCTGGATGACAGGATCGAGTCGTCCACGGACACACAAAACGACGGACATGTCAATCAGACTACATGCACGCATGCGTGCAACTAGCTGCGTGCATATGCTTGCAAGTCTTCCCATAATATCGCTGGACGCACAGAAGTGACACACAAACATGATGATTGCATCTGCATGTGCTCGAGGGCATGTGCAATGTGAAGCAGCTCTTATGCGGGCTTGCCAGCGGCCAGCGGGCCTGTGCAACCTCGCACTTAGCAGTGCTGTAATAATGGCTGCACGGCTTGTCGTCAAACACGCAAGCCGAAGCAGAAAACAACGACAAATAAAGCCGAACATCATTGCAAGCAACCTGAGAGAGCGCTATATTTGGTTCGCGGTTGTGGTGAAGCCTTGCAAGCTTCGCGCTTCGCTTGAAGCTTGAAGTCTGAAGCTCGGGAGCTTCGCGAGCTTCGCGCTTCGCCTGACGTCTGAAGCTTCTCGAGCTTCGCGCTTCGCCTGAAACTTGAAGTCTGAAGCTCGGGAGCTTCGCGAGCTTCGCGCTTCGCCGGAAGCCTG